CACCTGATTTTGAAGAGTGAACTGTAGCACATTAATTAAGAGTCTAATTAAGTTGCTGTGCTCCTGTGCAATCAATAGGCAGCCTTATGAGCTCATCAGAGACAGCACCAGGCAGCAGCTTGGTTCACTCCTGGCTGACAGCACTTGTGTTGCCAAAGTTGTTGCCTTCGATTGAATGAAAGTGGACTTGGTGCTTACGGAGATAGGTGTGGTTCAGTCAAATACTATCTTAAGAAATCTGTAAACAAAAAAGTCCTTCCCACAGAAGTACTTGCCCACTCTGATGGTTTCCATATTCAGGATGTACAATTTCAGTAGACTGTCGCTCTACCAACATGTCCATAGCTGGCCAGCAGCTTGCCAGAGGCTTTTTGTTCTGATTTGATGATGCCGTACAGTCCAGCCCAGTGCAGCGATGCTGACTGCATTTCCTGTTGCATATATCTCAGTCACATTATGCCACCTAGGAACCTGGCTCAAGCGATCAACACCAGAAATGGTTAAATCAAATTTTTGCATCAAATGGGTCTTCCCTCAGGTTTGATCTTACCATAAAATGGAGTCAGGCATTTTGTCAGACCTGAGAAGACAGAAGGCTCTGCTTGGGTTTGCTTTTTGCTGTTTACAAATATTTGTTAAGATTATTTTGCTAAGTGGTCTATCGCTTTACTGCTCCAGCTCCACAGCAATATGCTCAAACAAGCAATAGTATTAGAACAGAAACTGCAGTGAAGCTGAAACCTTACATAAGTAAGGTATGTACACTGTATGTTAATATTGTCAGATCCTTTTGCAATAATAATTTAAAAAATTATAACTCCTTGCCTGTAGTACCACAGACTCTGCAAACAGAGAATGCGCACAGTGTAGATGAGTTGGGTTTTTTTAATCAGTCTCCATTTTTGCTGTCTTGGGGCCCACTGAATTTTCATCAGCACTTCCCAACTCTTGTGGTATATGTGATCAGGTCTTCAAGGTTTGCCTCAGGGCAGCATTCATCAGGATTTTCAAGCAATAGAAGGGAGATGCTTTCTTCCTTGGACAGCTAAGCTCTTTGCTTGCTACAGGCTTTGTGCAGCCCATCATGACTGCATCCCTTCTGATTTCCCTGGCCAGATAAGCCTTTTACTTGTATTCATCTTTTTTCCTTAGCTGGCTTTTCTCTGGGAGGAGTCTCTGCAGACAGTTCAGATGACCTTTTTCTCATTTTCTCTGCCTTTCATTTTAATGCCAGATAGAGTACCACTCTGAGACACAAGGAGAGCCATTCACAAACATTTTGTCCTTAGTAAATGAGCAGTGCTTTTTCTGAATCTAATGATACAGAGAGCCTATGAAGATCTGCAATGATTAAGACGCAACCCAAAGAGGAGGCTGGGGAAGGGAATGGTATCCCTGCAGTGGCATAGTTGATCACTTGATCACACCAGCAAGATATCTGGTGGGACCCAGGGGTGGAACTTCATGGGGTTTTTTACTAGTTCAGTTTGCCTTGAAATAATTTTATTTTTTTTTTGCTTTAATGGGCTAACATATTTATTCTTTGTATATGCTATCCTTTTGAAGTCTTCTAGAGTAATAACTATTTACAGCTGCACCGGAGAAGTATATTAGCTGAATGCGTTTGTTAGATCAATGATGGTACGGCCAGCACTGCAAGCGCTTAATCTTCAGGGTACAGGTCAATGTTAAAGTGCTAACCTCCGAAGGACGGGGCAGTGACCTAGAATTTTCTGTGTAAACCGCAGTGTAAGCTTTGGTAGAAGACAAGTGGTATCCCAAACAGAAAGTTTGTCCCTAATTTCAGCTATGATCTGCATCCCATAACAGTGAGGAATATTATAAAAAAAATATCTGCATCAGTAGACCTCACCAGACTGCCATCTTTCTAAGCACTGTGTCAGAGTTGGGGACAGTTGGCTGCACAGATGAAGTAAGTGGAAAGGAGTATTCCAAAGTGTCTTCCAATTAAGTGTGACAGTAGCTGGGAGACATTCTGCTGGTGCCTGCAGAATGAGAAGCTTAGGAAAGTATGCTGATCATGAGAAAGAGTGAGAGAGGAAAGGATGTTGCAGAAAGGCTGAAATTTGCCATCTTCAAGGAGAAAAGTGGGAGACACAGAAACTGAATTAATTTTGAACTGGACTACAGAGTGGTGTCCATTCTTCAAACTTAGGACGCTGTTCCATGAATGAACAAATTAGCATTGTGCTAAATTTCAGGTGCATCAACCAGTAAGTTAATAGCAAAAATAAAAACCCAAAACAACAAGTAGAAAGAGAATTTGCAATGAGTGCCGATCAGGGACTGGGCAATAGCCAAGAAACTTATTAAGGTAGATGTCCTAGCTGTACCTCAAGCACTGAAGAGGAAGATCATGTGAGAGTTTGTGTAATCAGTTTGCTTTGCAAACCAGTTTCATCTTGTCATGAAGATAACTTCCATCTGTCACATACTTATCCTGTTTAAGGGAGACTAGGAGTAAATGAGAGAGGTCCAACAGAAAACCTCAGAGAGAAATAACTTCCTAGGCTAACAACAAAGAGGAAAGTTTGACAAAGTAAACTAAAACTGGAGGGACATAATTGTGGCTGAGGAGCTAAGGAAAGCTCAAACTCTTTCCTTCCCACTTGGGAGCAGCAGGGAGAGAGCAAATATTCCATGCGATTGATGAGGAGCCTTCCAAGCAGAGCCTGAGAGTGTAGCATAAATTTGGTACAAGGTACATAAGGGACAGCGAGGAGGAGGTTACTCATGTAGCTGGCCCCAAAAGGAGAAATACAGAAGGGTTATTATTATTCTTTGACAAGATGAAGGTCTAAAGAGAGAAGTTTGCCAAGTCAATTAAAACTTGATAACTCGTGTTATACACACCTGCTGCTTTCTGGAGCTTCAGACAATGAGAGCGAGCGTTTCATGCCTATTTCCCATTTAGGTAACAGTCCATTTGCTTGGCTTCTTTTAAGGAGCGTAACATTGTACTGTGCATTAGTCTTTATCAGAAGGACAATGCACTCTGCTTGAGTTTCATTTTGGACTGCTTAGCTGAAACGCAAGTCATAGACAAAAATGTATACTGGTGTGTCAGCAGAAATTAAAATAAGAATAATGTAGCTGGTATCTAATGTGGTTTGAATTAAGAGTTTGGGCTGAAATCAACCATTGTTTCAGGTAATTCAATATAAGTCAGTTATACTGGCCTAGGCTGCACCAGCATACATGTGAGTAGAATTTCGCTCCTTGAATCTCCTTGAAGCATCTGCACAGAAGGGTATTTTGCTACTCTCTATTAAGTGAAAATGATTTGTATGTCTGGTATGACAAGATTTTTGTATATGTGCAACTCCCATTTCTAGTAATTAACATGAACAAGTGGAAAGGAACTTGTGTTAAATGAAGCTAGCATGGAAGAATTCTAAGCTATGTGTATTTCTAATCTGCAAAATGCTGTTGAAGTGAATGCTTATAGCCTCTGTGTTCTACTGTCATATTTACTTTGCTTGCTTAATTTTTGTTCAAATAATGTATTCTTTTCATTTCAGATCAGAACATCTGTCATTTGGTCCACTCCAAATGTCTCCTTTGTAATCCCTTTATGGGTTATAATACTAGCAATACTTCTTGGACTACTGGTACTAGCTATGTTGACCCTAGCTTTATGGAAGGTATGTTGCATTATTACTGTTACTGTTGCCTTAAATAAACCCTGAAAGACACTGGAAGATACTGACAGATAAGAAAAAGAGAGACTGGCATTTTGTCATCTTCAACAGTTTGGAGCAAAAGCAACAATACACGTGTCTTTTTTGTTTTGGTGTTTCTGACATGCTAGTGTCGCTGACCTTTAAGCAAGGAACTTGTTTTCAAAGTCCTCCTTTATTATTAAAGTCTGGTTATAAATGGGCATACAGAGTTTTGCTCTGTTTCCCAAGACCTATGATCCTCCTTTTCAGGATGTTTAGGTTCAAAAAGAAGTGACTCTAACTTTGTTTTCTCTGAATACTTCAGGAATTTCCAGTTTTTGTCATAATGTAACAACACTCCCAGCTTTGAGAATTAATTTTTAGAAGATTTCCTTTTATATTAGTATGTCATACCTTCTGTTTTTAAATTTTTCTAGTTCTTTGTTGGTTGTTACACTCCCTTCACAAGTTTTAAGGCAAGTTACTGGAAACTGCTACGTTACAGGGAGTCAGCATAGCTTTTGGCCATCCTCTTAATTCCCATTAAAAAAGAAAAAAAAAGTTAGGATATGGCTTGTCTGCTTTTGGATGCCTAAAGATTATGGGTTAGGTGTCCAGCCTATGCTAACTTTCCAGATTCACCTAGTCAGTTAACAACAACAGCAAAAAGCTATGTCTAAAACATGGGAGGATGAGAGAAATTATCTTTTGGTGGGATTCTCCTTTGACTTCTTGTGGAGCCTACATAACTTTCAACCTTTTGACAAACAGGGTAACTTTTAAGCAGTTAAAGTTAGGCAAGAGGGATCTCATCTTTAGTGATCTTTAATCTAGGTCACAACACCGTCCTGTGCACATTTCCCAACACATATTCCACCTCTGTTATTATTACTATCTGTCAATCTGAATATATTTTCTGAATGAATGTCTTGCTGAACCAAAATTAGCAGTTTTCTCATTAGAGTCAGTCAGTATCATTCAGACCAACTTTACATGTACAGCTTTCATTGGAATTTTTAAAGCTATACTTTGGAACTCAATGCCTTGCACCTAAAACTTTATTTTTTCATAGGGAACTATTTCAATAGAAACAAAAAAGCTTCACAGTCTGTCATTGGTTGTACCTGACCTTTCAGGTTGACTGAGTGAAGAATCAAACTGCAGCTGAGTCTTCCTGTGATTGTCTTACCATGACACTTTTGTTTCTGTTGATTGTTTTCTGCAGTGTGGCTTCTTTGACAGAGCTAGACCTCCTCAAGATGACATGGCTGACAGGGAACAACTGACAAATAACAAGACTACTGATGCATAGAGGAAGAGAGTGACAGTTCACATCAGAATCCTGCCTGAGACTAAAAACACAACGAGGATTAAATGAAGGATTCCTTCCACCAGTCTTCCTTTGTACCTGCAAGTGACGTGGTGTCATAATCTGATCTATGCAACGTTCTGAGAACATGCCACATGATGGCCATTCTTGCCAAAGAAAGCAGCTTTACCACTGCCTTACAAACACACCCACCACTGAACAGAATGTTTATCCCATATTACAGTCAGTCTACATTTCAACAGATGCTTTTGAACACGTGTGGTATACCAAGATGCTTCCAGAACAAGCCCAAATCTCCCAAGGAGAGAACGCCTGCGTTGCTGTACTGTCTAGAAGATGGACCAAACTTCTGAATGCTACTGTATTATGCAGAATACCTTTGACACCTCCCTAAGAATAAGAACTTTTATGAAATTATGGCTCAGGGAGACAAGCAATATCAGTACTGTGGAAGTACTTCTGAAAAACAAAGGTAGCCTATAAAGAACTTTATAGATGGGGCACAATTATTTATTTTTCCACCTTTTCAGGATAAGTATCTGATATAATCATCAACTTAGCTTTTGAGAGAAGTAAAAAAATAGAAATCATGTACTTACCTTGCATGTAAATACAAAAGTAAACCCGTTGTACACACAGAACACATCTTTCTTGGCTACAAGTTGTTTTGCAAAGCAGAGGATTGATGCAACATTTTACAAGATGAGAGGTATGATAAATAAGTACATGTTGTATCTCTTTGAACCCAGAGCTGGCAGCATCACAGCCAGATAGCTAAATCCGTGCACAGTATAGAGCAGGGGATGAGTTACCCTCTCATCCCATCGCTGATGGCTGACACCTGTACAGCTGACACAGGATACAGTAATTTGTGAAACACTGATTTAAATTATCACACCCACACTGGTGATATTGAGAAGGCTCGGGGGTTTTGGGCTAGGATAAATTTTCTTTGCCGTTGCCCTGTTACTTTGTTGAAATGGTCTCTTAAAATGGAACGTCTGCTGCTCTTGTATCTTCTGTTTAATTTGTGTTGTAGACCCTAATACTTTGTTCACCTAAAGAAATCTTTGCCTTTTTTTTTCATTTTATTTTACAGTCTACAAGCTGGCAGCATATTTGAAGTAGTGATTTCAGCAAAGTTTAGGGCTGAACATAATTATTTCTTAAGCGAAGTCTTGCAGGAAAGGTGGCAGGATTTGTATTTATGCAGAAAAGTAGGATGCCAGCCGGCCAAGCATGAACAGAAAGGAGGAAAGATATTTTGAGGTAAAGAGTAAAAATATACGTTTGGGATTTGGTTTTTTTTTCTGGATCAAGGATTCTGAAGAAGAGAGGCTTCGTTCTTTCTCTTCTATCAGCAAATGGTCCTTATCTCAGCAGGGCCTCTAAGCTCCAGATCTGTGCAAATTTGTGCCAGGAAATTTGAGTCTTGCAGTGCTGCCTGTGAGTGTGAAATTAGCTATATTATGCAAAGTTCAGGAGGGATCGTTCATTTTCTGAAACCTACACCACACTTTCCTTCTGAGCTTGTTTCTTTCCAATCCATCTCATCTTCTTAATCGGCAAATGGCCTCATCCATTCTGCCACTGCTTGGCTTCTTTTAGATGACTGCCCTTCTGCTTCCTAAGACTTTGGGACAGGGCTAGCCATAAGCCATTGTCACTTCTGTCAGTCTTACAGAACATTTTACAGTTTTACCATTTCTTGGACGGAGGCTGACCTGTGAAATCCAAGCAGGAGCTAGGAAACCTGAGCAGGTGTGTTCCATCTTTGTGTCTAAGGCAAATTTGCAAGACCTTTATGGAGTCTTCAGCTTATCAGATGCAGTTTGCCCGTGACACTTAATGAGAGGAGGACCATGCCTGAGAGTATGGAAGTGCTTCACCTTCATTTTCTGAGGATGGGGAGGCCTGATCATTTCCCAGTCCCTCAGAAAACCATTAACAGACCCCTTCCCCCAAATGGGTTTGAGCTGACCCCTTGTAGATTAGAGAGATCAACTAGTAAATACCACCACAAAGCAAGCCTGTCCCATTTTTGCCCACCTCTGTATCCCATGCATTCCAGGCTAAATCATCCTGTGAAAAAGTGAGCTTCTAGTTTTTGTAAATATTGAATTGCTGTGTGTAGCAGCTTGTGAAATAAGATCAACTAGCTCGTTACAGTCACATCATCTGCACAACTCTTACTCTGATGAAATAGCACCATAAGGAGATACTGAACATAGGACTTTTGTATGTGCAATACTTTATATTACTTATATACCTGAAGCATGTTTACACTGGCATTTGTGGTTTTTTTTAAACTTTTGAATATACTGATTAATGATTACAATAAAGAAAAAAAAAAGAATAGGAAAAAATGAAAACAAACGCAGCTCTATTCAGTATTTGTTGCAATGTGTTTTCAATCCTGCATTGCTCTGAGGATGGGACTAGGTGACCTAATAAGTTCTTTGCAGTTGTAACATCTATGGTTCACTTTTGAGCAATTACTCTCTGTTTTAATGATGGGCAAAACATGCTCAGATACTAAATTTAAACCAAAAAGAACCTCAGTGACTGCTGGGCCTGGCTGGAATCCATTGGCTGCAGCTGTGTAATGTCACTGGAAACCAAATTAGAGGCACATGATCTGACAAACAGTTACTTTGAGCAAAACTTTGTTTTATATTTCTACATCCTTGTAGATTAAACTTCCCCCATGGAAACGTCTGGAGCCGTGTGCTGTCAAGGACTGTAGTCTTGGGTCTCGGTGTTTGTGGATAGCTTTGGCTGCAAATTGCAAACAGCTTTGCAAAGGAGATTTCTGGGTTTCAGTGGTTGCCAAGAGTGTTTATCCCCTGGGGAGATTGCATCCTGGATGTGGACACTAGCAGGCAGTTGACATAATCTTTCCCCCCCCCCGGTATATTAGTAATGTGCTGCACGATAACCTCTGCCACATCCCTACATGACTGAACTTTTGTTTCAGTGATGTCAGCCTTGTAGTGAGTTACTAAATGCAGCTTTCTGTAAAAGTAATTCAGCCTTACGCTTCCAAACATATGCGCTGAGCTGCTAATTGCTGAGAATACAGGAGTAGTCTGGAGAGCAGAAGAAAACGGCTTACTTTATAAATTAAAGCCTTTTAAAATAGTTTATTGCTATGACCACCACAGCAGTCTAGTAAACAGAGATGTTCATCTTTTATTTCACACACTTCTTGCCGAGTTTGAGAAAGGCTGTCCAGTTATTTCCTCCATACAGCTGACTTTTTAAGAGTATCAAGTGTCAAGTGACATTTTCTGGTTTATGAAAATTCAGAATTTACAAAACAGGGATGAGTACATTTGAATATGTTGTCACTTATGGATTTAATCTTTAAAGGTAATTAGCAAATACAATTTTCACTTAACCACCAGGTTGTGAACAAGAATTTCTTGTCACCATTCTGTAACTCGTTTACAACTTTTTCTGTCTTCTCCAACTTTTTTGCCATGACAGCTTTTACAGGTTTCCCACATTAGATATCTCTTGAAAATGACACTGATTTTCTCTACCTTTTAACTGTGATTTTTTTTATCCATTAGCAAGAAGGATCTTCTGGTAGACGTGGCATATGTTAACTAAAAAGCCCTTTGGGAACTGACAAAACATCTAGAGATATGCAGGAAAGTCCCAACTGGCCATGCCCTATGGTCTTCCACTACATTGTAGCAAATTTTTTTTTTAATGAAATACCATCTGACACACTGCCTTTAGGAATTGTTTATGAGTGCGTATTTTATTTATGATTGTTGGCAAAGATCCATATTAAAACATAGTGTAATGGTAGTGCCTCTTGACAATAAAGAGTCTCGAATTTAGCTTATGCAGGCGCCATGATGTGGCACAACAGGAATGCTTTTAATATTGAAGGACTGTTCTTGTTTTGCCTGTATGTTGTATTTGAGGGGCACTTAACTATTCAAGATGCTACTCTACTGTACACAGTGATTGTTAGAAAAGAAGAATGGAAGTAATTGTTCGACTCACTTTTCAGATGGTTTCATTTGTTTTCATCATGTTGCATCTACTCAACTGGTGCAGCACATTTTATTTGCTTTTGTATTGTTCTTTGTTTCAGTAACAGTTTGTAAAGCGGACTTCAGCAACTCTTTCCAAAACTGGACTGCATCAGGGAGTATTGCTTTTCCAGAAGCAAGCTCGGGATAACAGCGGCAGAGCAGAATTCAGGATGCTATGTGAAATGGTCAGTGCATTGCAGGGGCTAACTTACTTTTCAGCAGTTTGCCCTAATTCATATTCAGAGTCATATTAACAAAACGTCAACCTTAGATTCCCCTTTTCTGCTGACAAGGAGGTCCAGGGTGTGCCCTCTTTTATCATCACTGTAAAGACCCAATACCAAGCAATCCTCATGGCAAAGCTGAGGAAGGGAAGGCACATTTTAGACCTGCTCAAAAGAAATAAAAGGCAACCAAATCAAGTGTATGGCAAAAGCACAAACATCTATCTTCTCATGCTGTCCTGGTCATGAAGGTTAACATTTTCCCAGCAAAAGCAATCTGCTCATTTATCACGAAACCAGCAGCACCAGAACAAAAATCTCTGAAGTTGCAAAAAGTTTCCATGAATCTTGTATCTTTTGTAGAAAATTTACATTTTGAAGTATATATGATAGCTCTTGGCTCTTCAAATAGCCTTACTGGTGGGTTTTTGTTGGTTTTTAATATCTTAATAGCATTTAGGAAAAGTTAGGTCATCGTAGTAAAAGCTGAAAAACAGAATACATTTAAACTAACAGTGAAGTCTCACAGGAGACCCAGGCTTCGATCTGGACTTACCTTTTCCATTTTTAGGCACACAAGAGGCATCAGGAGGCATCTCATGTGTCTGCTGAGACTTCCAAGGATGTTACGGCTTTGTTATAACAAACACTCCCATGCCAACTAATGTGAAAAACAGGAGGTTTTATTTTTAAAGATCCTACAGTCTATCATCCCCTGCTATATGCCTTGCATACAAGAACAGGCAGAGCGTGGGTAAATGTCACTGTTAAACTAGGTGGTGGGATGAGACATCCACAATTTCACTCAGCACATACCACAAAGAACTTTTCCTGTGAAGAAGGACAAAGACTGAATTTTCTCAGTGCCTAAAAGTAGGAAACATTTGTTTTTCTAGAGGAGAACATGGCACCAGGGAAGCCTTGCCTTTCAAGCATAATGAATGCAAGTATAAATGCCAGGCAGCTGGGCCCAGGGGGACTTAGTATTAAACAGTTAAGGAGGATGCAGGATACTATGTTAACTATAAATGACTTAGAGGGTAGGGCTAGGAGGCTCTAGAGGAGAAATCAAACCTTTAAACACATAGATGTTACCACAGAGTAGATCAGGAATGACAAGAAGGTTGATTAGTAAAATGGATGGACTGGGAATAAGGCTCAGCTACAGCAGATGAGGAGAAGTTGTGACCCCAGAAGATAATGAGACTAATGATTACTACAGTGATTTTTTTTTTCACCATGACCAACTGATTCATTGCTCATGCAAAGTTTGAGGAAGACCATTTCCCTAGTAATTAGATAACGAAAGGAAAAAATATGTCTGCAGCTGTGACGGGACTATTGAGTTATCTGTGAATCCCTCTCATTCTTAAATGAA